TATGATGTTTACATGGAGGGTGGAACCGACATGTTTTAATTTTGAAATCGGTAGCAATGTTATTTATCGTGTTAATATCGTCAAGGATTTGGGCGTGTTTTTCGATCTAAAGCTTTCTTTTAATGATCACATTAATGCAAATTATTGCTATTAAGCAAAAGCCTTTAAAAACTTGGTTTTCTTATAAGAAACGGTAGACATTTCAACAATACGAATACATTAATTTTACTTTTTAATGCTTTTGTCAGATCTATTTTAGAATACTGTTAGATTATCTGGTACCCGGCCTATGATATACGCTGTAAAAACATCGAGAGAATCCAACGTCGTTTTGTGAAATACTTATGGTTTAATGATGATAGGAGTATACGCAACGACATTCTCTTAAGTAGATATAATTTACCTAATTAAGTCACACGTATGAATCTGTTGGCTGCTAAATTTTTATGTAATTTGTTGAATGGAACAACTGATTGTCCTTTTCTCTCTACGCGTTCCCGATTTGCGTACTCGTCATGGTGGTAACAATTTATTTTATTTACCTGTTCCGCGGACAAATTTATTGTCATTTTCGCCTCTTTATGTTATGTGTAATGTCTGTGACAGTGTGAGTGAACTTGATATTTTTAGTTCCACCAAAATCAATCTCAAGAGGTGTTTTTAACAATTGGATAATTTATACTTATGTCTTTTTTATCATGTACTGTTTAGAGTTTTGTTTCTCTATCATTTTTTTTGTTTTTTCCCTACCTGTTAATTGGATCACGCGGTTCAGGCAGTATATGGATTATTATAAATAAATAAATGATAAAAATGCCCAGTTATCTTGGAACTCAGGTTAGTAGTAGTAGATTTTCATTTACTTCATAATACAGCATAATAATATATAATGGGTAAATAAATATGTTTTAATGCACAAAAGGATTGTGATTATTTGCCGACGTTAGAGTTGGAAAAATGAGGGTTTGGGTCGTTCTGTCAACCTTAGCAAAATACTATACGAGTGCGCTCCGATAAGTGTTTAGCATTACCGTCCTATGTTAAATGAAATTTACTATATTATGTAGGAAATTCTCGTATAGGGCTACTTTCAAAATATCAGCTGAATTGGACTTTTAGTTTTATTGTGACTGGATTTTAGCTAAAGGGAAAAAGAGCAATTCGGTTCTTGTTTTAGGAAGGGAAATCGCGCAGCGAAATCAAAGGGCGCATGGAAACGATGTATGGCCACTATCAAAAATTGGTTTAAAGGGTTTCAACGTGGTCGCACGTCGGTTTTTATTGAAGCATGCCAGTTTCCCCGAAAACGGCTACCACGGAGGATAACGTAACAAAAATCCTAAAATTTCCAGACCGCCGATTGGAGGTGCACGAGTTAGCTGGAAGAGTACGCATCCCAAAAGACCGAGTGGACTATATCCTGCAAGAAATATTAGGCACGAGAAGGTTGTCTGCCCGATATTCGCCGCGTTTACTCACTCCGGAAAACAAGCGCAAACGTGAGACCATTTTAAAGCAGCGTTAGACTCTGTCTTAGTGCAATTCGAGGAAGCTTCTGCATAGTTTCGGGACCGTCGATGAAACATGGATCCACTGGTACACACCAGAGACGCCGAGAAATAGTCGAAACAGTGGACTTCACTCGGCAAGCGTACTCCGAAGAAGGTGAAGACCAAACTATCGGCCGGAAAGGTGATGGCCACCTTTTTCTGGGATTTACAAGGTGTGATCTACTTCGCAGACCTCCAAAGAACGTATTTTCCAAACGGGTTAAAGAAGACGGAGCATCACTGGGTCAAGCGTATCGCCACTTTTCCAAAGTTACCGTTTTTCTTTTGTAGGCCAAGTATACTTTATCTGAAGTCACTTGAAATAGCATAAAAACCTTTGGTCCGCGCGTGCTTTGTAATTTCATGACGTATCATATGCGTGCGGTCATTTATTTAGAACGATAATAATAATGTTTTTATATCACAATAAATGGATTTTACTATCTTCTTATTTTTTTGATTTGGGATAAAAAATACTTATATTGGGAGTTTAATTTATGTTGACTGAAAGTTAAGAAATGGAAAAATTACAGAATTCCAACGTTTGACATAGGCAAATATTTACATAGCAGGTAGGTATATAAAAAGGTATATAAAGACTTACATTATAGGTATTTATATATCATCCTCGCCTTCGGAGCTGTCGCTGGAGTCATCTTGTAGAGGAAATACAACGGGATTTACAGGAGGCAAAACACAATATTCAATTTCTTTTTCAATAATATGCCTAGAACACTGCTTCCATAGGTCTGTGGCAGTAATATGAGATAACTGCATCTCTTATTGTGGCCAATAGCGATTCACTTAATTGAGGGGTCTGATTATGTTTTCTTACTTTTTTTTAAAGCAGCCCAGACCAACTCAATCGGGTTAAAAATGCAGTAATAGGGAGGTAGACGTAATACTTCATGGCCATTTTGCTGAAGCAGATTGTCAACAACATACTCTTTTTCAAATTTTTGTCTTTTAATAAGATCCAATAATATGGCTTTGGTTGATTTTTGTGTTATTTCCATTCCCTTATCCTTCATAAAATCAATAATGTCTTGTTTTTTTGTGCCTGTATTCGGAATTTTGTTTTTCTGTCGGGAATGGTATGGCGCATTGTCCATAATAATCACAGAATTTGGGGAAATGTTTGGTATTAACTGCTGCTCTATCCACTTTTCAAATAAGTCGGAGGTCATGTCCTCATGATAGTCGGCACATGATTCTTTGATATTTTTGGCAGATAACAGCAAGGCATTAGGTATAAATCCATTTTCACTGCCAGCATGGAGAATAATGATTCGTTTTCCACGGTTGCATGGTGCATTTAAAATTCACTTGTTGCTGTCGTCAACCCAGCCGTACTGCACAACATCATGGGTATCATACCACGTTTCATCCAGGTAAATCAGATCTCCTTTATGCTCTCTATAGATTTTAACTTTGTGCAAAAATTCTTGGCGCAATTCAACGATTCGAGACGACTCCATAATCAACATTCTTTTATTTTTTTTTTGTATTGAAAACCACACAGTTTTACAATACAGTGCAGTGAGTCTAAGCATTTGTAATTATAAAAATCTTCAGGATAATCTTTTAATTTATCCCGTATCATTTCCAACGTGGGCACCAAATTTTCTTTATAAAATCCGTATATTATACGACGAATATCTTCCTGAAAACCCACATCTATTCTTTTTAATTTTTGCCCTATGCGCTTTCTATGGAAGGAATGATTGACTACATCTTGCCTTTTTATAACCCGATAAATGGTAGTCCGACTGATTTTTGTCAGGATACAAATTCTGTTTAAAATTTGATTTTGCGAGGAATCTGGATTTTCGTTTTTCAGGCAATCATACATATTTAGGATTACTCTTTGGGTCTGTTCCTCTAAATCTTTATGAAAAAATTCTGCCTGCACAGGTTCATCAACCATCTCCTCGTGGCGTGGAGCATTTTCCCAAGGTCTCCAAAGAGCCATATTTAGGACGCACAAGAACAATCAACACAACAATTAAATCAACAAGTAAACTGAGTATTCAAAAGTCAAAAACACACAAACTAATAAAATCTATGAAAAAACACGGACAGACTAAAGAAAACACGTTTATTCACCGCTACACGGCACTGGCTAAACTGTTTCAATTTTCAGTAGCCACCTGCACTTGTTCGGAGCTCTGAAATACACGCTTTCTCATTGGCTATGTCCACGCATAGGCGTGCTTTACTCCACGTGGACCGGTGAAACTGCCTTTGATCTTATACGGGGGATATTTGCTGCGAAATTTGGCGATATTTGCAGCAACAGAGCGTGTTAAATATAGATATATAAAACGCACCCGGTATTTCACAGTGTTTCAAGTGACTTCAGATAAAGTATACTTATACCGGACCTCGTATATGTCTTGATACGCTTAAAGTGTTTCGAAGCAATATTAAAGTTTTCGTTATTCTTCATTACAAGCAAACGAAATACGAGATGGTCAAGTACTAGCTGCTGTCCAGCTGCCCTATGATGATTCATCCTGCCTCAACGAAACTAGTACGTTCTTAGCCTGACAAGTCAATACCTGTTCCATCGGATCCTTTCATTACGACGTACAACAACCAATTAAATTATAATCAGCGACTTAACAGTCGGTACTTGTAAGTCGAGCACAGCCAATTAGATCGGTGTACGCGTCCCTATCAAACACGGCTGATTAGGTGCCAGCTAAGAGCGTTTTCAATTGAATACGATCCAAATTGTATGGGGTCTAAATATGTATGCACCCATAGCAATCCAATTCCATCACGATTCAGCCTGATCACGTGGTAGCGGTGGCCAGATCAATAATTATCTTTTGCGGTCTAGTCAAAGGTCGCATTTGCCGGCACAACATGTTGCAACGTGCGCTAATGGTAATCTGCAAATTGTGGTCAATTTACATGTGTTTTGTGACTGAAACAGGACTTCGAAATCTGAATCCAAATTTCGTCAAATTCAAATCCTCATTCGTTTTATTGACATTTGGTATGTCGTACACTCGTCAAAGTATACATCATACAAAAGATGTGTGAAGCATGTGCATGTTTCTAATTATCGTACACAACAAGTATATGAATAAAATTTTTATCATCACACATACATCTAAAATTTGTCTGACTGGTTGTGTCATGATTTTAGTGACTTTCTATCTGATTTGATGAATTTTTCAACAGTGTAGAACGATTTCCATCGTGTGCGCAAAATCGCTTACTCAAAATCGTAGTCTACGCTATGGTATATAAGTTATCGTATGCCATTAGTTAATTTGGTTTGCTATATCCGATCTGAAAGTTCGTTAGTTACTCCGATACCGATTCACTTATTTATTTAGTACTATAGTGAGATTGCCCTGTTTTTCTGATATCATCTACATTTTCTTGATGAACAAACAACAATCTGTTGTTAAAACGCCTAAATACTAATACATTTTCCTATCTTTCCAGGCGCGCCATCCTCAGCAATCCGGATCTGCTACCAGACACTCCATGGTCTCGGCTGTTGGAGCACGATTTCTGGGGCACGCCTCTCAATGACAGCGGCTCCCACGGCTCCTACAGGCCGCTATGCGTGCTCACATTCAGACTCAACCACTGGATGGGCGGATTCAGGCCATGGGGATACCATCTGGGGAACATACTATTGCACTGTCTCGCCACTGCTCTACTCATCAAGGTAATCATACTATACCGATTGACAAAAAAGGTTAACACCTACGTATGCTTATCCGATTTTTAATATGTACAGTGTCTCTCACTAGTAAAATGATTAGATTTTTTCGTCAACTGACTGCAGAAGCTGGTTCAATAATGTGTTGAGGATACACGATTTCTCATGCACTCATTGACACGACTGGGCATCGTGCTGATAAGGTGGTCGATGTCCTGTTGGCTAGTGCAACTTCGTGAGTAAGAGCTGCTATCATGTCACAGACATGTTCAATTGGAGATAGGTCCGGCGATCGTGGTGGCAAAGGTAAACGGTTGATGCGATGTTGATCCATGAAGGCTAACGATACTCTGGCAACATGCGGTCTGCCATTGCTTTGCTGAAAAATCGGGTTTTGGTTGGTCTTTACGTATGGAAACCTCTGACTAGCGAAGACTCAACCGGCGGACCTGCCCCTCTGTGATCACAAAAGGCTTCTCAATGAGCTATACGAAATTTAACATTTAACTGACACCATAAATGAACGAACACTGAATTCTTCTTTATCACCAACCAATACATGCAGCCACCACATAAACTTAACAGAGGAACCTGACCATTTCATCACGTGCTGTTCATTGCAAGACAAATCGATATGTAAAAAATGTTTAAATTCCACGTAGGTGTTTCCTTTTTCTTGTTACTCAATATATTGACATTATATAACCTATCCAAACCCTTCCATCACATTTTGTTGGAAAAGCTTATTACATACGGTTTTTGTGAAAACAGTGTACGTTTAACGAAATCTTACTTAGACCTGATCCATAATTTATAAGGTATGGCGTTCCACAAAGTTCAAATTTAGGTAAAACGCTATTTCTAATTTATATAAATGATATAACAAACTGTGATCCCAATTCGAAGTTCGCTGATAATAGGACACAGATAAATAAACCATCAGAAGTAACTGCAATCCAAGAGACGTCAGTTGGAACATGGAGGTGGTCTAGCTTTCTAAGCTTGAGTAACACAACAACATAACTGACGTTCAACACGGTTTGCCCTGTGAAGGATAACGGACTAGCAAGGAAATTGTCATAAGTAATATGATAAGGGCATCTAATTTTTCCGAACAAAATCGAAAATACACGTTGCTAAGTAACATTTTAATAAGAAGTATAAATGTTTGTGGCAACAAAAATCCCAGTCGAAGGCGAGGATTTTTGCATCTGTTCGAATGTTTCTTGTTGAAAAAATATTACTTTTTTCTGTGACGGGAATACGATCTGAGCATTATATTTTTTTCTGGTTGTGGCACCTTTAAATAATCCCTGTTTCTTATTTGGTAAGAATGTATCGGCTCTTGGTTGGGAGGACGGGATATGTGTTGCACTATCAAAACTCTTAGTAGGTATAATTGCCTTATGTCTAATATACCAGTTTCTTTATAGAAATGGTCAGTTGGATACAGTCGGGGTTTATGAGATGTTGTCTTTAAAATACTTTTTTGAGTTATTTCTAATTTGAACATATGAGTTATGTTTGCTGCTTTCCTTGCTATTATACCATAATTTATGTGAGATTCTGTCAATGCATGATATAGTATTTTTAATTGACAATACTCTGGTATGTTTTTAATTCTTCTTATTCGATATAGAACTGATTGCAAATGTTTCGCGACATTGGATCGTAACATACTTTTAATAATTAAATATACTAAGTGACATATAAATCCGAACACCCAGTTTAGATGGTTTTATTTTAATAAAATTTTGTATAAGTACTTAATGAAGCATAATAAGTAAATGATAAAAATTTCAAAATGATTGCACTGCTTTAAAGCCCTTTGACCTTTAATAATGTGTGAATGCACCCTGATGTGCTACGCATTCTCCAACGCGCCTAGGCATGCTTCTGATCAGGTGGTCAATGTTCTCCTGTGGTATCTCATTCCAGGCAACCACCAGCTCCTCTCGAAGTGCTTCTAGAGTCTGAGGAGGACGTTGCAAATTGAGCAATCTCCTACCCATCATATGACACACGTGCTCAATTGGGGATAAGTCGGGAGATCTTGGTGGCCATGACATCATTATGTTGAAAGAAGTTTATTGTGACTCTTGCAACATGTGGTCGGACATTATCTTGTTGGAAAGTTGGATCTGCCAGGGTGTCAAGATACGGTAAAAGATGGGGTTCTAGAACTTCGTGGATATAACGCTGCGCATTCATGTTACCTCTGATGAAGATTAAAGGTGACCTGGAACCATAAGCTATAGCACCCCAAACCATAACTCCAACAGTGTGATGAACATGTCTTTCAACAAAAAACTGTGGATTCCTCCTTTCACCACGTCGCCTTCTAACCCTGGCACGACCATCGTGCATGCCTAAACAAAATCGAGACTCGCCACTAAAGACAATACTGTTCCATTCCTGATCCCAGAGTGACCGTTGTCTGCACTACTCAAGGCGATTACGTCGGTGTTCTCGAGTTAAAGGAAGGACCCAGTGTGGCTGGTATGAAAACAAGCCAAAACTTCTCATTCATCGGTAAACACTTCGCATGCCAATAGGTCTTCCGTGTTCTGCAAACCATTCATTTGCAATGGACCTGGTAGTGGAGAAACGGTCCCTTAAGGCCAATAATCTTAGGCGGCGATCTTCACGGTCTGTTGTTCTACGGCGGCGTCCAGTGCCCCTTGCTCTTTGCGTACGGCCTTCTCGAAGCCATGCCTGACAACACCTAACCACAGTGTCTACACTTCTTTGCACTCTAGCTACAATTGCCCGAAAAGAAAGTCAAGCTTCCCGAAGTCCCACAATACGGCCCCTATCAAACTCACTAAGTTGACGAAATCGTACAGGTCTCCGGACTCTAGGCATCGTAACCGATTGTATAGGATGTCAAGAACCAAAATCCGCCAACGTTGATTCTTTACTGCGGCTGAAATATTCATTTTTAGAACGTTAGTGAATTAAAAAAAAGCAGTATAAAAACCGGAATGTCCAACTGATAAGGCTGAAAATTTGTTCACTTGTTATTTACAGTAAGATAAATACATTCACCAACTTTTATTAAAATAAAACCATTTAAACTGGGTGTTCGGATTTATATGTCACTTAGTATAATTCGACCACACTGTTGATGGCTTTTGTTGTTGTGCCAATTCCCAATAATAATCCAATGACAGCGTTTCTAGCAAATAGCTGCATGTTTTTTTCATCTTCCATTCCATGCATCTTGAATACGCGGTTTTGTAAATTTTCCGCGATTTAGCTGGCAATAAATTTTATGACGCTACTTTTCCTATTTCTGGCAATTCTGGTGGAGCAAGAAAACTCGGAATCAGACATTTTTTACTCGACAGTATTAAAAATAACTTCTAAACAGCCACTAAGGTCTAATTGTCGCTATAAGTAGAACGTAGCCTAATAATTTCAAAATTCAAATTTCACATCGATAATTTTCTGACATAAATATTGTAATATAATTTTTCAATATTAAGTCGCCGGTTTTCCCGTCACAGAAAAAAAATGTGTACATGTATTATAAACGGGTAACATACTAGATTTTAGTTTGAGGTTGTATTGTCTCCAGACGCGCAGTACTTTTTCCCCTTGTATAATAAATAACTATTGCATTGTGTTTCTTCGATTTTTTTCACAAGAAAAGATTAGATCGCAGCCATACCTTAGAAGTTCCTCGTAGCTAATTTTTTTATATGCCGAAACCTTTATGACATGTTGACAGCACTGCATGAGGGTCAAAATACTTGACGCCACTTTTTAATTTTAGGTGGCGAGACAGGTGCTTCCCCGCTCAAAGTTGAAAGTGGGGACGACAGTCGCAGGCCTGGTCTTCGCTTCGCATCCCGTTCACACGGAAGCAGTGGCGGGTGTCGTGGGCAGGGCGGATCTAGCAGCGTGCAACTTCTATTTCCTGTCACTGCTAACTTACATGGCGCATGTCAGATACAGGGATGCCACGGTGTACGCGCAGGTGTGCACCAAGAGTAAAATCGGCGAGGCCAAGAGGTACAGGAGGTTGGTTGTGGCTTTGCCGAAAAGCGTCTCGTGCGCTGGGTGCCAGTGGACAGGATGCAGGGGACATAACGGGATGGCCAAGAGCTGTGACAGAGAGGTAAGAAATCAGAAAATATGTCAATCTGTTTCGATTCAGTTTTTCATGGCAAACGGTGGTTTTAGGCGTCGCATATTTAATGCAGAAGCAATGTAAGTCTAGAGAACTATACCATCGCACTTGGGTAAAAGTCTAAGTATAAGAAAATTGAGTTCAGACTTCTGTATTTTTTCGAACTGAATAAACAGAATATGATGACAGAATATAAGTAAATGAGTATTGCAAAGTTACAGGCTTTACATGGCTTTATAGAAAGTCACTTCAATGTGATTTCGGATCATAATAATTGTTATTGAGGCCATATCATGTCATTCCGTCTTTAATTATCGTTGTAAATCGAAAAAAACAGTAACATTTGATTTTCTGCTTTTATACTCTGTAAAAATAAATTCACCGCCTTTTTTCTCAGTTTTCACAACCTACTTATATTACTTATATTATTTTCTCAAGCAAAAACGCAGTAATGCTGAATTTTATTTAATGGTCATAGTCAAATTGTAAAATTTTCAAGACATATTTCAAATAAATCAAATATAAACTCAGGGGTACCTCAAGGATCAGTACCGGGTCCGATACTATTTTTAGTCTATATCAACGATTTATTAAACTTAAGCATAAATGGTAGATTCGTAGTTTTTGCTGACGATACCAGAACACTTTGGCAGGACAAAGATACAAGTGACATCAAGACAAACATTGATAGTGATATACAATCAATCAAAAGATGGTTGGTCAACAATTACTCAACTTTGAATGGTATCAATACAAAATTTATGACATTTGAGTGCTCCTTTGATTTTATGAATTTAAATAATGAATTGATACACAAAACAGACACCATACAATTTTTGGGACCCGCTGTTGACCATTAATTAGATTTTACTAATCATATGAACAATTCGCCTAGTCAAATAAAAGCACAACCTTGAGCAGTTACGTTGCCTTATTTGAAAGTAGATTGAGATATAGCATTCCCTTTCGATGTGCCTATTCCCAAAATTATTTAAAAAGGTGCTTATTCTACAAACACGCACTATTAGGAATATAACTAAAAGCAATCGTAGAGCAAAACGTGCATGCTTTTATTTGAGAATCTTTTTAATATGTAAACCATATTACACTTGTATAATTATATACAGGGTGTTTCAGTTTATTGTTGCATAACTTTAAGATTCGATAGAACTTTTAAAATTAATGCATAAAGTCTATACAAACATGGGTCGAAAAATGCGTGGCTTCCGAAATACAGGGTGTTTAAATTTACTTTCTAAAATAGTTTTTTTTAAATATTTCGAACAATATTTGATGTATAACAGTGAAAATTGGTATACAAGGGTTTTTTGGTACGACAAAACGAACCGTGGGCATAGTTTTACTAGAGACGGTAGAGGGCGCTCTCTACTGTACCTGTAGTGTATTAAAATGACCGAAAAAAATTTTCTTAGTGCAATTTTTTGCTTTTTGAATAAACAATCTGATTCTTCGTACTTTTCAACATAAAAAAGCTCTCCTGTCAGTTTTCGTTATAGTTAGCCGTTTTTGAGATATTTCGATTTTTAAGGTTCGATGCATTTTTAATTATTTATGGGAAAATAATATTTTCTTACATTTTCGATTTGGGCATTACAAGTAATTAAGATGATCGTTTAGATTGTGTTTTTAAACACAGCAATAATTCCTAACTCCAAATAAACACAAAAAACCAGAATATTAATTTGTTTAATTTTCCAATATTATTTTTAACAAATTAAATTAATTATTTACAACTAAAATGCTATTGGATAGTTAGGACAAACATACAAAATCTAAAGTAGTTGCTCGAAATGTAAACTCAATTGTTCAATACACATTTCACATCTACGAATGGTCGAACGTGGTATAGCATTATTCAAATAAGGCCTTCTTTCATCACATGCATTCCTGATTCTGTCTATTAGCATATCTCTTGTGGTTACGGGAGTCTAGTACACTTTTTCTTTTAGAAATCCCCACACAAAGAAATCTAATGGATTTAGGTCAGGGGATCGTGGAAGCCAGGCGACTGGTCCTCCACGGCCGATCCATCTTTCTGGATAATTTTCTTCCAGCCAGTTTATAACCATTCTCGAATAATGAGCTGGACAACCATCAAGCTGGAACCAGGCCAATCTTCTTAAATCTTCATAACATCATCCCACATATTTGCATGTTCAGCCTTTAAAAATTCCAAGAAGGTCGCAGCATTTAACCTTGCAGGCAAAAGGTAGGGTCCAAATAGTCGATTACGGTAGATACCAATCCACACGTTCACACTAAATTCATGCTGAAAATTTCTTTCCCGAACTTCATGCAACAAAATATGTTGATTATGAAAATTTACCACTCCACGTCTAGTGAAGCATGACTCATCGGTCCATAAAACGTTACTTAAAAACTCCCTATTATTATCAGTTCTATCAAGAATCCACTGCCAAATGTGATTCTTCATTCTACGTCCCCTGGCTGTAGTCCTTGCACAGGTTGCAAATGGTAAGGAAGTCTATGGTCATTTCTAAGAACACGGTGAACATGGCTGCTGAAATTCCCAATGCACCAGAAACTCTCCTAACAGTTGTGGTCGGACCTCTATCAAACTCACGCAGAATCATACGGGCAAATCTGCGCTGACGAACATTTATGTTTTGATCCCTTTGGAGATTTCCAAAACCATTTTCAATTATTTGGCGATGCACTCTTACAAATACTGAGCGAGTTGGATGTCGTCTGTTCGGAAATCTTCGTGCGTATTCTCTGGCTGCTTCTGCTGCGTTTCCATTTACAAAGCCATACACAAAATGAATATCCGCTAACTCTCGATTGGAGAATAAAAATGGCATTTTTATAAAACTTACAAAAAAAAAAACAGGTAAAAGAAACTAAATTTCGTGCATTCACAATTGCAAAAAAACGTTTCAGGTTTCAACAGACAACAAAACTAACTGTCAACTAATTGACGTTTAACCTTATTCTGCTTTCATTTCAAAAATGTTTGCAGGCACAGCCTACCTCTAAAAATTATCGAGATACTGACTTTTTAACCTTATTTTATCATAAATAATTAAAAATGCGTACAAGAGAGCTTTTTTATATTAAAAAGTGCGAAGAATCAGTTTCTTTATTCAAAAAGCAAAAAATTGCTCTAAGAAAAAATTTTCGGTCATTTTAATACACTACAGGTACAGTAGAGAGCGCCCTCTAGCGGCACAGTAAAGCTATGCCCATGGTTCGTTTTGTCGTACCAAAAAACCCTTGTATACCAATTTTCACTGTTATCCATCAAATATTGTTCGAAATACTTAAAAAAAACTATTTTAGAAAGTAAATTTAAACACCCTGTATTTCGGAAGCCACGCATTTTTCGACCCATGTTTATATGGACTTTATGCATTATTTTTAAAAGTTCTATGGAATCTTAAAGTTATGCAACAATAAACTGAAACACCCTGTATAGTTTAAAGTGAGGTTTGTCATTAAGAATGGTTGCATTCTTCAGACAATAGTAAGCTACCTATGTTTAGGAATGTTTTTCAAAATAATTCATCGGAGCAAAAGGAATTATTTATAGCGATAAAATCAAAAACCTGTCTTGTAAAGGTAACCATTTATAATTAAGATTTAATTGGAATTCATTATTTCGAACTAGATCCAAAATAGTCACTAAAAGTCTTTTACTGTATTTTGTCAGAGTGCGTAGCGTCGTACAAGCGACAGCTATTTCTAATACCTTTTGCTTCCAGGTTGCCATCATAATGAAAGTTAACAGTAAAGATAGCAGTTCAGAAACCTACAGACAGTGGTTCTACATGGCACTGACGCTAGTATTCGCTGCAGCAGCAATGCTGAGCAAAGAAACGGGCATAACTGTGCTGGGACTTTGCTTTGTCTACGATATTGTCTATTCTTCCTATAATACTAAGGTAAGTGGAATACGCGTATTTACATTTATATTTTTATTGATATTTACATGGAGCAAGCTGCTTGTATACATGTATTCCTGTACCAACTATTAAGTTAACCTCTTAGGCACTGCGATTTAACTTATACATGGGTTTCCACTCAAACAAAACAATCAAAGCTTTGTTCCAAGAAACCATCGAACCGGTTTTGAAGTGAACAAGAGCATGCGCAGATCGAAATTACTGTACCAACAATGAATGGTACTGATTCCGTAACTACCAGTTCTCTGTTCCAACAAATTCCGAAATTATAAAAGTTTTGGTTTTGTGGGAGAACTAAGGGTTTATATTGAACTGTTTAAGGAAAAAATTTCATTGAAAAAAAACCATGGTTATATAGATGGCAAAACGATGAAGATGCTTCTATGTAAAGTCCAGATATTGTCACCAGCCTGTACGTATGTGATGATTTTCGTATATTTGTAGTGCTCTTTTTATATTCATTTTATTTTTACTAGAGTTTCTTCTTTGCTCTTATAAAGGGTTGACCAATAGGGACGCAGGAAAGTAAACGTCAATTTGACATAGACGCCATCTTTGTTTTCTGTCACCGACATGTCATTTTGTTAGTTGAATGTTTACCATTGATCGCTATGGAGTCGTATTCGATTGAAGACCGCATTAAAGTTATTCAAGAGCACTACAAAAATGGTGCAAAAATAAAAAACACGTTTCGCGCGCTTCGTGGACATTTTGGTCGCAACAACCGCCCATACGAAACAACCATCGGTCGTCTGGTGCGTAAATTCGAGGCAACTGGTTCTGTGGCAAATCTGCCAGGCTCTGGCCGGCCAAGGAGCGTTCGCACACCGGAAAATATTGCTATTGTGAAGGAGAGTGTGAGAGACGATCCGAAACAATCAACAACGCATCGATCCCAAGAATTGGGCATTTCGAGAACCAGTTTGCTCCGCATTCTCCACAAGGATTTGAATGTACACGCCTACAAGATCCAATTGACGCAAGAGCTGCGTCGGGCCGACCATTTTTCGCGCCGAACATTCTCAGATTGGCTCCTTCAACACCGCCAAATTGATGCCAATTTTTCATCAAAAATCATGTTCAGCGACGAAGCGCATTTCACTTTGAATGGGACGATAAACAAGCAAAACTGCCGCATCTGGGCGAACGAAAATCCCCGTGAGTATCAAAGGCAGCCGATGCATCCTCAAAAAGTGACTGTGTGGTGTGCATTGTGGTCAAAAGGCATCATCGGACCTTACTTTTTCGAAAATGCGACCGGGGACGCCGTTACCGTCAATTCTGATCGATATCACGTGATGATAGAGAACTATTTTTTGCCGCAACTTGAAGGAATGGATATGGACGATGTTTATTTCCAACAAGACGGTGCAACATGCCACACAACCAACGTCAATATCCATCGATTGCAGTCCTTCTTCGGTGATCGCGTGATTTCGCGCAGAGGAAACGTGCCATGGCCACCTAGATCGTGCGATTTGACTCCCTTGGACTAATTTTTATGGGGATATTTGAAAAGCAAAGTCTACGTCAACAAACCAGCCACCCTCCAAGAACTCAAAAACAACATCATTGCCGAGATGAATGCCATAGAACCGACCATGTTGCAAAATGTCATTTAAAATTTCGACCATCGCGTGGACGTCTGTAAATCCAGTCGTGGTGAACAACTTGATTTGAATATCAATCTTTCTTGTTTTAATATGCGTTTGCTTTCCTGCATCCGTTTTGGACAACCCCATACTTACGATAGACATTGAGCCTCTTCAGATTTGTTTTTTGTTTTTGAATATATAAATGTCGTGAAGACTCATCCTTTTGTTAGTATATACTATTTTTATTTTCACTATTTTATACTTTAAGTATAGTTATAGCTTCAATGCCTTTTGAACTTTAAAACAATTTTATACAAACAAATAACCAGTGTCATTCCACGACTCAATCATTCATAACTTGTTTAGCCAGTGACCATATACAAAACGTCAATGCGTAAGTGAGCGATAACCAGAGGTATTCAACGCATAGATTACGACCATGATGACAATCCTGAGAAAAATAGGATCATTACCACAAACAAGGCTTCTCTTTCGTCGCAATGCTTGTTTTGTCATTGATGCTCCTGTACCGGCAACAAATGATAACAAAGCTGTACTTTTGGAAAAATAAGCTATTCACAGTTCGAATGGGATAGGAATAAACGGCTATTAATAACTGAGAAGCTAGATTTTGTGGTGCTATTTTGTTGCTTTTTCTAACTTTCCAACCTTCTCATGTATGGAACAAATTAATCTAAATTATCAAGCCTAAACTCAATACCAATGTATTCACTATAACATAAATGCTAACGGAGCAGCTAGTAATATCCTGCAATTGTATCTAGCGAGCTAGTCGGGAGGAATAGGGTGAATATAAGACGGTAATTTCAGTGGATCTTTGACCCGTGTGCGATGCAGACTGAGGCAGAAAGCAGCCAGGCATTACTGTAATCGGGCTCGACCAGGAGACCGCCGTTCAACCATGATTAGAAACCGCTCAAGTATCCATAGGAATAGGATGGAAATTCTGTAGCTGGACCCTAGCTCTGCTATTGATGCAGTTGATATACAGTAGATATTTATTTACTTCCTAACAATATAGAATAGTTAAATAAATGTGTTTTAGCCTTCCAGTACTCGCGCGGGAAAAATCACGTAGGTACTCGCGTGGGGTACTGAGGTACCCCAACCTGTTTTTGTGCTTTTTAATTTAAATAAAACAATAGTTGGAGCTTTTCTTTGAAAAATATATTCACACAATTTTTTTAAACGCTTTTATAACAGAACAAAAAATATTCACTTACGAAAGAAATGCTAACATAATATTTATATAAAATCCTAACTAACAAATCAGGTCTCTGAAGGTATAATATGGCAAAAGCATCTATTCGCTGTCACAATTGGTTTCTATTTCTCTGCTATCGAGGCAATTACGGCATACGAAATTTTGATGAATTTTACATATCCACTCAACACATTTTACGCATGTAATTGGCGTTTTTCTATCAGCTGATCTGGGACATAAATAGCACCTACCCTTTCCAAGTTTTTGTTTCTTTGTGGTAGCCTTATCTGTTGCTAGAGTAGTTTCCTCAATGTTCAGTAAAGCGATAGCTCTTTTCTTTATATTTCTTGGGATATTATCCATATATATTCTTTTCATTACTTGTAGCCGTACTAACTCTGCAGCTAACTCTTGCAGGAAATGTTCTCTGTTTGGTTTTTCAAAATTATTGTTCATAGCAAATAGACAAAGTGCGTTGATACCAGCAATATTTAGAATGTCAAAGAGAACTGTCAGAGGCCAACGTCGGCTATTTCTAGCCACGTCATACTGGGCACAAAGTTTGTCTACGACATCCACTCCAGATTTAGTTCTGTTGTATTCCAGGATTATTTCAGGTTTCAAGCATTCCCTATCAACCTCATCATCGTGGTGCATTGATGAAATCAGCAATACAGCAAGGTAAGATCTGATTGAAAGGCAAACATACTACTCTGTTCTGGTCTAGAAGCAGTCTGTGTGAATTCTAATGGAATCTCTCTTTTATTTTTTCTGATCGTACCAACCATAGTCAATTTATCTTTCAATAAGTCCCTAGCAAGAGGTACACTGGAAAACCAATTATCCATTGTAATGTTACGACCTGTACCTTTTAGAGGCTCAACTAACCTTTTTACGACATCTCCAGGACTGTTACTCAAACCATACGGCCCGTTCGGTTGTTTACCTGCATATATTTCTAACCTGTATGTATACATGGCTTTGACATTGGCCAATGCAAATATTTTGATTCCATATTTGCTGGGCTTATTAGGTATATATTGCCTGAAGGCGCATCTTCCTCGAAAGGCAACCAGTTGTTCAACGATGGTTAGAAAAGCGCTTGGTATCACTGAAGACTGGCAATTGTTCACAAATCGCTGAAAAATGTCCCTAATCGCTGCCAGTTTGTCATACATACGTCGATCTTCCCTAGTATTTACATCATCAAATCTGATACCTCTACACAGGAATCTGAAGCGATTATAACTCATTGTTATATATATGTTTTCAATTCCTTTGCCATTTGTGTTCCATAATGTCCGAATATTCTGCCTCCCAGATTTCAAAGATTCCGCCAAATAAAGTATTCCTATACAAGATCTTATCTCGCATACGTCAGTCAATCTAGCATCACGTTCTCTATCGAAATTTGCTTGAATCTTTGCAACGTATAGATTGGTACATTTCACAACGATTTCAATCATTGAATCATCAATAAAGTGGCTAAGACAGTCCATCGAGGATTTGGCGTTTTTTGCGTTGCCTACTGGCCCTGGAACTTTCAATATAAGATTACGAGCCTTTGTTCTTGACGTTGGTGGTTTGTTTTTACTCCATTTACTTTCTTTATCCATATGGACCACCGTTTTTTACAGAATCTTCTTCAGTTATATTCGAAATATCAGCTCCCTCTTCAGACTCTTGCTCGGTATCTGAACATTCACCTTGTACTTCCAAGTTATCTGTTTCTTGCTCCGATGGATCATCTTCACCATAAACTTCTTCGTCGTCACTGTCAAGCATTTCATTATACCATTTCAGCCATTGCTGTGGGTCTCTACTTGATAAATTTGCCATATTTTTACCTGCAATAACACCAATAAATTGCAAAAAACCTCAAAAAAACAAACAAAAATACCCTTACTTCCTTGTTACTCCGATGCTCGCGAGGGGTATCTAAATACCCCAATCAAATTTCGACTCGTAGCTTACGCACCACGTGATCTCGACTGCAGCCAACTCTTAACACCAGCCTGCGTATACTACACTCGAGGAATAGACGAAAATATATGCCGATCGTCATTTCCCCCACTCCAGTATAGATAGAGCTATTACTAGTGGGGTATTTGGATACCCCGCGCGAGTACTGGAAGGTTAATCCACAAAAGGATCTGTTGTATGCTGGAACGTTCGACATCCCAAAAACTAAACATGAGTTATTTAAAGAGAAACTTAAAGAAAAATGTGTATTAAGGAAGACTTGATATCTTGCCTTCCTATTGCTTAAAGTGTTTTTTCATATGATTTTGGTTTCAAATGGAGAAAAGATCGCTTCGCTATAGTGCTATAGGGCAGCTTTTGCACGTTATTTATATCGAGTATAATGGCAATGTGTGATTTTATGGCGGTCATTGACAACGTTGTGTTAATGGTTGATAATATCTATGAAATAAATTTTCATGATACCAAATAATTTTATTTCGTTGTATAAATCGTTTGTTGAATATAATTTTGATTTTCCGAACTTATTCTTCAAGACAGTCTGTAAAACTTCTATATTATTTAATCACGATGGACATGCTGTACTCCACGTCAATATGTCATACATTGGGAGCGGCTCAATTAAGGCATGATTTATAGTACGCATGAAACTGTCTGTCGATATGCTTGTTAAGAAATTAATTTTTTATGTAAGAAATCTTGTTTTCTTCAAAATAGAAGCTGCATGAATGTCTCTCCTCAAATGTTGGTCTGAAAAAATTCCTAAATATTTGACATTATCACGCTTTCAATTTTCAAATCTGTATTGTTCATTTTGGAGCAAAATCATTCAGATGTCTTGCCTGTGATGCGAACGATAGAAAATGCGCCTTTACAAAGTTCATGGTTAAAAAAATGAATGATTTTACAAAATTCATTCTCGATTGTTTTCTTTATATCATGTCAGTCCTGCCCTTTATAGTATTGTCGGATCATCACAAAGACTGACTATTTTACCCACACACTTAATTTTGAATATATTATTCAAATAGATATTGAATAATGGAGGTCCCAGAACTGAAACCTTGAGTACGCCACATTGGATAAACCTTTCAAAATATTATTTTCATGTCAATGCGCAAGACGAGCAAGAAGGTGTGTGATCCATGGAAAGTCATGCTCCTTGTAAAGGGTCATCGTGATTGTCATGCGATGTCAGTTGTTACTTTCTATTGAATGGATTTGATCTTTATTCATTGGTATCTCGTCGAAAGCCTGCTTCAATGATATTTCTTTATAAAAGCTAAATTACGTTTGAAAACACCTTTTAGTTAAACAATTTTAACAGTATTTGTCATGCATGTGACATTTTTTATTGTACATTGAACAACTTAAAATTTGTACGACAGCAAAATCTCGAATAATCACAAACTTTTCTTGCTTTGCTCCTTTGCGTTAAAAACTTATATTATGTACTTTTCAGATTTCAATTAAATGCGTTTTTTGTATTGTGTCATGAAAATGGATTCTTCTGTTAAGTAATAAAATTATCATTATCATCTCTGTAACCCTAGTCTCAACACACGGTAAGAAAAAGCCGTTCATCCATCGACCAGACGGAAGCAAAGTAAAGACAAAGTGCCGTCAATCAGAGAATCAAACTTCAGATATCTCGACGAAGTAACATTGCGCTTAAGATAATTCCCACTCGTAGGACATTGCCGTAAACAAACGGATGAGCCGAAGAATAACATTGCGTACAAGCTTCGAGTATCGTTAAACTAGGGCAAAGCACAATTGATCAATCCGACTTAGCGATTATTTTGTGTTTACTGTTTACTTCCGCCACGGTAGTTGTGAAAAGTGGATTGGACGGTGCTTGAGGCGACAAGCAATTAACAGAAATAAACGTGTTTGATTAAATTGGTTGGTTAGGATCAGATATCTAGAAGGCTATGCTTAGACAAATGCTGAATCATGAACTTTAATAACATGGGTCAATACTAAATTTGATCTAAGAGTAGTCATTGAACCCCATAAGGATATTTCGGGGTCTTTGTGGAAACTCTTCTCAATGCTCAGGTAGGTTGACCTCTAGTACGTCAGCTCCAAGGTCAAATTTACAAAAATGGTTACGCATTTTTAACAAAAAGGTGATTTATCAAGGTCATGCAAAGGTCATTTCAAAGTCAAATTGAAGATATTTCAATAACAAAGATTGTAAATGTGATTGAATCTAGTGTAAAATCTTCAACCACAGTTTTCTTTCGGTATTTCCTCACCTGGCGTTTTGTTTACTCGGCGAGGTCATATAGCGCTTATTTCAAGGTTGTTCTGTAAAGTGTCGAACATCAATTTAAAAACCTCCACACGTATGATTTCGATGTTGTTGGTTATGAATATAGCATTCTATCATACTTTCGTCAGTAAAAAATCACTCTACAACCAGAATTGTGTACTTTTTTCTTTTGGCATCTTTCCTAAATTTGACCTTGGAGTGACCTTGAACCGACCGCAGCATTTAATACAGTGACTCTAAAAACTTTAAGATACCCCTATGGGAGCCAGATCAAATGTTGAGCAGTGTAGTTATTACAGGTTATCTTTTAGTTATTGTATCAACTATTTTATTAGAAATTTTGCCTAGAGTTCTTCACTTGGATGGACTTCAGAAATGTTGAAAAAAAAAGAAATGTTGCATTTTTTTGGAAAAACGCTCAGACCCGTCGATTTTGTTTTCGAGGGGGACACAAGCTTGGCAAAAAATCACGTTAAGACGTGCAGCCCCCTGGGCGGGGGTGACACCAACCCTAAAATCTTAAATGGAAACGGGGGTCGAGTGATACCTTGTTTTAAAGGCCTTTCAATTCCCTTTATAATGATGAAAATACATGAGCTTCAGTTCAGTAGTTTTGAATATTTATTGATTTAAAGCTTAAAGTAGACTTTAATAGGTACATCAGATTAGTTTGTACTACTTTCAGAAGAAATTTAACGAAAAGAATTTACTTAATAAGTAAATGCTTTTCTTCACTACGCCCATGGTTTGTTTATCATTTTTTTGTTGAAAATCGCTATTGGAGCGTTTTTTTTTTGTGGCAAAAAAGTAATTTCTTGAATAAAGATAAGGAAATATCTCGTACTTATTTTAAATAGGAATTTAGTACACAGTTTGCGATTGATTTGACCAAAATTTGTTGCTAAAATAACTTGTGACGCTTTATTACATAAATTAGCCATGGTATATTCCAAAGCAGAAAGAGTTG